AGAGGATGAGCACAAATGGGTAATGTGCATATTCTGTTCACACATCATTTGAAGAATTCTAGAACTTTAATTCTTCCTGTTGAGGTAGAGGTGGCGCTTGGCATGTTGGACACAATTCATATGTTGGAGCAATCTAGAGCACCCAATATGTTGGTCATGTTCCCATAATTGTAAAAGCCACTTTTATCACAAATGCTTGGAATGACTTAAGTGTCCTCAGTATCTGATGCAGGGAAACAAAGATGGAAGACTGTGACATACCTGATGTGATATCTACACTTGCTCTAAAAATGATGTCTTCCAAAGGCTTAGCTATGTCTGGGACAGCAAGGTTTATTATAAATAAATAAAATGATTGACAGGTAGCTAGTTGATACTTCCAGATTTTGGATAAAAAGATTTGGATTTCTACATTTTATTCTATCTTCATGAAACTACAAATACACATTAGTTAAATATAGGAATAAGGAAACATAGTCTTAAAAATCCTGGAAAGTGGCAGTTCTGGGTGACAATGGTGAGTCCAGCTTCCTTGCTTCAGTATCCCTGAATGTACATTGGAACCCAACAGTATGTCCTTCCACTCTATTACTATGTAGCCCCACCTATTGCCTATTAGCGGGGGCTAGGAGAACTAGTGTGGGCAAGTGGAATTGTCATTCTCCCTGCTATTTAATTACAGGCCCTATCCAATTTTTGTTGTTATTATTTGTATTCTTAAATGTTAAAGCAAATTTGGGAGGGTGCTGGCCAACTTTGGCAGGTTCATTCAAAATGTCCAAATTGTGCATAGTTTTGCCTTTTGAATTTCAATATTAACATTTAAAAGTTGAGTGAACGCAGTGAATTTAAAAATACATCCTCTACACTCTCTAGCCTGACTAGGTGCGTGGCTCTATGGAGCCTGAACTCTCACAGTGGGAATGGTGTTTAGAAAGGCCTTGTGTGAAGCACACTATAATGTATGCATGTTCAGGTGTGTGCAGCCTCTTGGATTTTTATTAAATACTTAAAGGACCACTATAGTGCCAGGAAAACATACTCGTTTTCCTGGCACTATAGTGCCCTGAGGGTGCCCCCCGCCCGGCTCTGGGGAGAGGAAAGGGGTAAAAACTTACCTTTTTCCAGCGCAGGGCGGGGAGCTCTCCTCCTCCGATCCTCCTCCGTTCCTCCCATTCGGCTGAATGCCCACGGCAAGAGCTGCGCGCGCATTCAGCCGGTCGCATAGGAAAGCATTTACAATGCTTTCCTATGGACGCTTGCGTGCTCTCACTGTGATTTTCACAGTGAGAATCAAGCAAGCGCCTCTAGCGACTGTCAATGAGACAGCCGCTAGAGGAATTGGAGGAAGGATTAACCCATTTGTAAACATAGCAGTTTCTCTGAAACTGCTATGTTTATAAAAAAAATGGGTTAACCCTAGCTGGACCTGGCACCCAGACCACTTCATTCAGCTGAAGTGGTCTGGGTGCCTAGAGTGGTCCTTTAACAAGACCTCTGTGATTGGTCTAAAAGTCAGCCAATCACAGTGACCGAGCTTTCAAGGTGGAAGGACTTGCCTGTCCTGAGAGCTCAGTCTGAGAGGAGAGTTATTGCTGCTTTCTGTAGTGGCATTGAAAGGGTTAAATGTAGCTCATCTGATAAGTTTGTATGGTTTTCTATAGAGATTGTCCAAGCTACAGGTAGAATCTTTTACCAATTGGCCATGTTATACCATCAGTTAATAGCATATTTGGCACAACATTCCTGCAACGCCAGTTTAAACAATGATGTGATCTAGTGCAGTGTTTCCCAAACAATTCCAACAAGTCCCGCAGCAGTCCAGAATGTATGTATTTCCCAGCTTTATTCCAATGGAGATACTGACAAAACCTGGACTGTTGGTGGGTCTTGAGGACTGATATAGGAAACACTGAGCTGGTGAATCAATGTGAAACATTGGTCAAGATTACAGACATGTTTTAATTATTTTTGTAAAATACAATTGTAATAATATTTTTTTTTATTGTTCTCAAAAGGTACACCCTCATTTTAAATATATGTATAATGCAAAGGGTCCATTTTTTGATGAAAATGGAGAATTAATGAACACTTACATAATTAAGTTTTGCAATATGTCAGAAAAAGCTGGGAACTATCTTTTAACTATCGGCTATTACACACCATGGCTTCCACCGAATGAACAGTTTGGTCTGAATCTTCAAAATATAAACTGGAAAACTGGCAACAAAAAGGTCAGTAATATTTCTTTGCTTTCCTTTTAACTGAGATGTGTTTAAAATGTGTATTTACATATTATAGAGGTCCACAAATGTGTGAGCTCAGATGATACACACTAACCACTACCATGGAAGTGTAGACACTTTTTGTTTACTTTCATAATTTGCTTTGTAAGATAAGATGTAGTTTTATTGCTTGTAAAGGAATTAATTTATTTGCCAATAACCCATTCTACACATGTAATGTCCTCAAGTGGACAACCTGGACCACCAGGGTATTATTATACCCTCCCTGTGTAGGAGGGTGACAATTGCATAAAAAAGGTATTATAATGTCGGGAGGCTGGGCACATGTATGTACGTGGTGGGGAATTTTGATGCAGCATAATACATAACTAACCACATTCAAACCCCTCAATAACGATCGATAACTTAGTATGGATGAAACAGGCCACAGCATTTATTATAACTAGAGTTGAGCGGACACCTGGATGTTCAGAACCAGCGGTGTAACAGACCGTTTCAGCACACAAGGGGTTAAAACCCTTTAGGCGATCGTCCCCTTCCAGAGATGCAGGCACAGCTACTGCAGAACACCAATCCGCCGAACAGGAAACCATACGAATGCTGTAAACAGCCGAATAGGAAAAACCATACGAATAGGTTTACACTCCTAGCAGTCAAACTGGAACAGCATACAGTAAATCCAACCCAAGAACGAGACAAAGCTCCGTGTTGAGGGTCAAGCAGTGAACAGTCAGAGCTGTGGGTTTATTGTGCTTATGTACACATTCTTACACATTAGTACCACCCACAGGGTTTTGGAACACAACCAATAAACACATAGAATACACTCAGACACTCCCACACAAATTCCTCCCCTCTGCTTGTGATTCAATTACCTTACACAATGGGTAATGTAATTTAGCACAAGCAGAGAAATACAATTGTTCCACATTATTCATAACTTGACAAGTATGCATCACATTCACATAAAACTTACATTTTCAGAATCAGCATACTCCAATTACAAACATACGTCAAAATCATACAAATTGGTCCAGTGGTTCAAAAGATAGATCATAGTCCTTTGTGACCACAGGAAGCATGGCTTTTCTGCCCAAAACCAGTTCCACAGAGTCTTCTATCCTGGAGATAATTGTGAAGTAATCCAATTATCTCCAAAAAAAGAGGCAAAACTCCATTGAACACATGGCAGCAAAAAGACAGTAAAATACAATAAAATACATAAGGTTACATTTATGACATAAAATACAGACATGCAACATATGCCCAGATAGCTTAGGTCTGAGCGCACAATATTACTGAATGGCGCTCAGAACACACATACAGTTCAATTGCCATGGAGCCAAAGTATTTCCCATAGTCTTTCATTATACGAATGGGCTCCATGGCATAGCTATCTGGGTCACAAAAACCCCTCTAAAAAACTCCTTGAAAGGGCTAGAGAGCTGCAAAAGCAAGTAAAATGGGGGTAAGAGTATGTCACGTATTCATCCGCTTATAGAAATGTGGTTAATGACATTTACTGTCCACACAGGAAAAGTTGTGCCGAGCAGCAACCTAATCCACAGAAGAGTTAATGCTGAGCAGCAATTATGCAAATGAAACCTGGTAACTGACTTTGGGGTCAAAGGCCGGTTACAGCCTATCAGAACTAAAGGAGGGGTATTTAGGCCCAGTTCTCATCCTGCTCAGTGCCCTGTCGTGGTTTTCCTTGTGGTTGTCCGAGAGCGCGTTCCTGTTATTAGTTTTCAACCTGTTTTTTTACTTTGGCTTTGTTTATTGACTTCTCTATATTCTGGTGTCCTGACTCCTGACTTTCCTCATCGCTGCATCCCTTTCTGTGTTCCCTGACCTCGGCTAGTATTTTTGACTATTCTATGTACGTTAAATCCGGCCATTCTAAGGACCGGTAATACGTTACTTATTTGTCATCCGTGCTATACAGTTCTACGTGCTGGATCAAACAGTAATCCTGACAGAGTAGGACAAGTGCTCTACAAACAAATGTGGATAGGGAAATCACTTAAAATAACATAAAAATTAAAAATACAGCTGAGCCATAAAATAGCACTAGATGGAATCTTTGATTTTAGCTTTGGAAGAACATAAATCAAAATCTAAAGCATGGCTGTCAGGAGGATCAACAGAATTATCCTTTTCAGAGAGGGTTGGAGTCTAGGGTATTCTCTTTCATTGTTCAAACTGAGCTCAACTCCTGATGCATGGAGAAAAGGCCTCTGCTAATGTGTACCTAGTTTATACTAAGTGACCAATAGGTTGAGAAGGCGGTGACCATGGCGGTGGAGGAGGAGGATGAGGTAGCCAACATAGTATTTTAGTTTTTTTCTTTAGTTTTTTTTTTTTAATTGGGGTAGCCCACAAAATATTGGGACATACAACAAAAGAAACATTTGCGGCCTGCGGTGCATTTCTTGTAGTCCTGATGCATGGAGAAATGCTCAACTCCTGATGCATGGAGAAAAGGCCTTCACAAGCCTCTGCTAATGTGTACCTAGTTTAAACTAAGTGACCCATAGGTTGAGGAGGCGGTGACCATGGCGGTGGAGGAGGAGGATGAGGTAGCCAACACTGTATTTTATGTTTTGTTTTTTAATTGTGGTAGCCCACAAAATATTGGGACATACAAATAAAGAAACATTTGCGGCCTGCGGTTCATTTCTTGCAGTCCTGATGCATGGAGAAAAGGCCTTCACAAGCCTCTGCTAATGTGTACCTAGTTTATACTAAGTGACCCATAGGTTGAGGAGGCAGTGACCGTAGCGGTGGAGGAGGAGGATAAGTTAGCCAACACTGTTTATATATATACATATATATATTAATTGGGGTAGCCCACAAAATATTGGGACATATAAAAAAGACAACTCTGTTCCGCAGAGTAGCTGTTGACATTAGAGTTGCGCAGGAACTTTGTTGACTCTAGAGAACCTCGGGCAAATCACACATCCCCATGGCGGCGACTTTGCATGCGGATGTTATCCATATCAACTTTCGATGCCAGTTTCTGCGTCTACCATGGTGATCACTGGTAACGTGGAATCAGGGTTTCATTCCGTACAGGACCCTGAGAAATGGCTACCACATGCAAGGAAGGCAGCAGGTGCGCAAATGACCCACTCACGACGTGGGAAGGTAGTGACGACAAATAACAATACAGGACACTTTAGAGGCCTTGTAATTGTAATGAGTCCACTTGAAATCTTTTAACTCTGATCAATTGGAGGGAAGTCTGGTGCAGAGCCACTGACCCGTGTGTGCTGCAGCTGAAACTCGACTATCGCCTGCTGCTGCTCGCAAAGTCTCATGAGGCGGTGAGCGGGAAGGCCAAAATTACGCTGCAGCGCAGACAGGCGAGCAGCAGCAGGGTGACAACACCAAAAGTGCGCACAGCCGCTACAGTGAATGTCACATCCTGACAGTGTCTGAGTCCTGGTCACCGGACTGCACACCTCACTGTGAAACTACGAATGGATCGTTAATTATGGATCCTTTGATCGCTACATGTATTACTTGGATAACTGGTAATTCTCAAGCTAATACATGCCAACGAGCGCCAGGGGACGGCAGCTCCACTTTTGCACCCTGCTCCCTCTTATGCTGTGCTGGTGCCTGTGTGTGACCAGCGCCTCTTCCTCCAAACTGCACACGTCACTCGCATGACCTTGATTCCATGTGGGGTCTAGGACCTCATCATCCTCCACCCACTCCTCAACCCTGCCCTCCTTGCCAGTATGCACACTGCAGAAAGCCACAGCAGTTGGCACCTGTGTTTTTCCAGAATGTAAAGTCTGCAAAGGACATATGGAAATTGTTTTAGAATTGTATCCAGGCAACAGTTTTCCCTATAAACTGACGTCTCAGTTTGACTTGTAAGGGTATTGCCCCAGAATTACAATATTGTTGAAGTACCTCTTAGCTATTGATCACTGGTTTAAATATAGCAGCTTGTTATCTGGTAGTTTCTAGTGTAGAAAGTATAAATCTGTTATCTATCACTTAGATCTGTGTAACAAGTGTTGTAGGTGTGAAACAATATTACAAGTGACCAATGTAGTAAATTCGAATCAAAGTTACGCTTCAATTTGACTCTCAGATATGAAGTGAACACCCCAAATATACTACTTAGCGCCAAAAAAAATGACTTTTTAAAACTCCAATGTAAGCAGCAGATTAGCAGCAAAACAATTAGAATGTTTACCACTGCGCAGTAAGCACATTATTTGATGCTTCTATTTGACTCTCACATATGAAGTGCACCGCAGGCCCCAAAATGTACTCTTTAGCAGATTAGCAGCAAAACAATTAGAATGTTTGCAAGTGCGCAGTAAGCGCACTATTTGACGCTTCTATTTGACTCTCAGATATGAAGAACAGGCCGCAAAATATACTATTTAGCAGATTAGCAGCAAAACAATTAGAATGTTTACCACTGCGCAGTAAGCACACTATTTGACGCTTCTATTTGACTCTCAGATATAAGTGCACTGCAGGCCCCAAAATGTACTATTTAGCAGATTATCAGCAAAACAATTAGAATGTTTACAAGTGCGCAAAAAGCACACTATTAGACGCTTCGAATTGAATCTCACATATGAAGAGCAGGCCACAAAATGTACTGTTTAGCAGCAAAACAATTAGAATGTTTACAAGTGCGCAGAAAGCACACTATTAGACGCTTCGATTTGATTCTCCGATATGAAGAACAGGCCCCAAAATTTACTATTTAACAATTTAGCAGCAAAACAATTAGAATGTTTACCACTGCGCTGTAAGCACATGACATTATTGCACAGTCGTTATTCGGCATGTGCCAACCATACTTTAATAACACGCAGACACAGAAAATTCTGTTGGAGTATAAAGTCCACAGCTTTATTAATTAATATCAATATATAAATTAACAATTTAGGGTCATTGTCAACAGTACTCCTTCGTTAGGCTCTCTTCCTATATCATACCCCCGACAATGACCCTACCAAAACAAACATTGGCATAACCAATAATACATACACGTAACTCAACGGCCTACCAAGAGGCCCCACCTCCATTTGTCTAACTGCAGGGGTGTACCCAGACACCCCTACACCCCTTGGTTCGTAGCCACCGACGGGCTCGAACCTACCTCCATACTTTTGACTTCCGGCCTACTCCAGCCTAGACCTTGGCCTACCAATTTCTTAACCCACCAAAATTCCAGTTTAACCAAGACCTTTTCCCGCCGCTGTGACCAAGCGGGAACTACTACTAACTCATAGGGTGGGTGGGAGGGACAATTTACAGGTAAGAAAGGCTCAAGTTAGAATGAACTTACCCTAAAATGGCCGCTATTTAAACTTCCCTTCTAACCCACGCCCCCCAGCACAATCACAGGACAGCCTCTTGACCTGAACTTCACCCTGCCTACTCCTGGCTCTGTCAAGGCCCACTCCTCCCTGCGTTGCTCCGTGGTTTCATGACATTATTGCACAGTCGTTATTCGGCATGTGCCAACCATACTTTAATAACACGCAGACACAGAAAATTCTGTTGGAGTATAAAGTCCACAGCTTTATTAATTAATATCAATATATAAATTAACAATTTAGGGTCATTGTCAACAGTACTCCTTCGTTAGGCTCTCTTCCTATATCATACCCCCGACAATGACCCTACCAAAACAAACATTAGCATAACCAATAATACATACACGTAACTCAACGGCCTACCAAGAGGCCCCACCTCCATTTGTCTAACTGCAGGGGTGTACCCAGACACCCCTACACCCCTTGGTTCGTAGCCACCGACGGGCTCGAACCTACCTCCATACTTTTGACTTCCGGCCTACTCCAGCCTAGACCTTGGCCTACCAATTTCTTAACCCACCAAAATTCCAGTTTAACCAAGACCTTTTCCGCCACAGCACTTGCCTTGACCCCTTAAGGACATGTGCGACCCCCACCACACAGAAACAGGGCTTGCGCTATCCCGTCTTGCAAACCTAAATTAAAAAGGTCATAACCAACATCCGATAAGTGCACCCCGTCATCACGAAAGTAACCCGGTAATCTCTCCTCCAACTCCCGATGCCTCACCACCACGCCTCCTAACCTTCGAATGAACACCGCCATGGTCCTGTTCACTTTACCCCGACATCGAGAAACTGCCTTCTCATCCCTGGCGTATCTCCAGCATAAACGAGGTACCATCTCCGACCATACCACTTTCACGCCAGGGACAAGCCCCCTTAGTCTGTCAACGTCCTGCTTCATACACTTAACCAGTTCACGTTGGGGGACCAGACCCAAGTCGTTTCCCCCCCCGTGAATTACCACCACGTTCGGCAAGGGCTCCTCCGCTACCTTCCGAAACAATACCGTAATAATGTGCTGCCAGTCAAACCCCCGATAACCGAACCAGAATAACGCCACCCGATCCTCAGGAAAGCCCAGCTGTGTTCCATGTCTTCTAACTGCGGCCCTCCTCCTTGCCCAATGGATATACGAATGGCCAATTATCCACACCGTCCAACCTAAAATAAAACATAACAGTGAGGAAACATCACCAGCACATCCCAAATACCCACAATCAACCACCCCTTCACACCAGCCTATCTGGCCGTACATAAGAGCGAAACCTGAGAGATTCCCATCTCCCAATTCGTCTAATCCGCTCATCCCCTAAACCCAAGCGAGCCGCTTCGGTCGCCGCGCCTATTCGGAATGAATGTGTTCCAAACTGCATGGGCTCCAGACCCAACTTCTGCAATCCCAAACGGAAAACCCGCACAAATTGGAAGCGCGACAGTGCCGTGCCGTCGGCATGTATGAAGAAACAACCGCTCCCTACCGGGCGTAGTTCCAAAAACCCGGCCCCACTTGCCACCGGACACAACCCCGACCCTGGTAAACCAAACAACGTGACCATGGAACCTTTACCAAATACATCCGTCTTTGATTGAATCAGGTGGATCAACACCCTGTCCCTACTAACCGTCACATCTTCCAACCTAAGCCCACCAACCCCTTTCTTGTTGGCACTAAGCAACTCACCAATCCGAAACGCCCCAAAAAAGGCCCACGAAAAAGCCACTGTAAATAACGCCACTTCAAACACAGAAAAACATATCTCAGGTAGTTTGTTCACTAACCCCTGTAACACTGTGAAGGAGACTGGTCTTCTCGTATCCTTCGTCTTCTTACCTTTCCTGTATCCCCGAACCGCTTGCCTCACTATAAAATGCTTCGTCACATCCTCCCATCCATTAAACTTAAACAAAAACGCCAACGCTGACATGTACCTATCAACCATTGATGGCGACGCTTGCTTTGCGAACAACCGGCATAGGATCCATAACAGTATGTCCAGCCGATTGCTCCCAGGGCCCGTCACCCCTACCTGCTGCATCGTGTCTTCCCACACTTGCCAGACCTTAACATAGGAGAACCAAGTTCCAGGCGCCAGAGACTTCTTTATGTACTCCCCAAGCAAGACGTCCCGAGCTCCCACATCTCCGCCGGACAGGCTTGACCCTCTTCTTCCGCCTCCGGCGCCGCCTCCCGAAAACGCTCCCACTGTAGGCGAGACAGCGCGTCAGCGACAACATTGGTAAGCCCCGGTATATGCCGAGCGCGAAACACAATATTAAAAGACATGCACAAGAGAACCAATTGCCTCAACAACCGTACCACTGGCCATGAAGAAGCCGATAATCCGTTGATAGCCTGCACCACTGCCATGTTATCCGAATTGAACACCACCCTCTTATTGGCTAACTCCGGACCCCATAACGCCACTGCCACAACAACCGGGAAAAACTCCAAAAAGGCCAAGTTCCTAATCAAGGGGCTCGCTTTCCATGCCTCCGGCCACCCCTCCGCGCACCATTTACCCGCTAGGTACGCCCCAAAACCGATGCTGCCTGATGCATCCGTAAACAAACCCACGGCCGTGGAGGTTCCCAACGGCTCCCGAAAAAACACCTTCCCGTTAAACTCCCTCAAAAACCTAGCCCATACCTCCAAGTCCTCTCTCATGTCCACTGACACCCTAATATAATGCGACGGTTTTCTCACCCCGCTTGTCGCCCGCGCCAATCGTCTGCAAAAGACCCTCCCCATAGGGATCACTCGGCACGCAAAATTCAGGCTCCCTATCAACGATTG